ACTCCAAGCCGGCAGCACGTCACTGCTGAGCACCCACCTGGAGGACACGTCCACCCACCGCCAGCCCCGGCAGCTGGAAGGGGAGCTGGGAGCTGCCCACGGGCTGTGCCGGGTGTCTCATCTCACCCACTCCCCTGCCTGCCAGCAGCACCGAGGCGGGGAAGCCCAGACCGAGTCGTTTCTGTGTCTAGCAGGAAACGCATGCAAATGCAAGAGCTTGAGAGCACCGCTCAGGAAACCCCCAGCCCAGCAGCCTCCCAGACAGCCCTCAGCCCCTCAGTTGTGCCATGGGTGCTGGCGAGGCTCAGCACTAAGGGCATGCACAGCCTGGCACTGCAGGAGGGGTGCGCAGCCACACGCCAACAGCTGGAAAGCCCTGGAAATGGAAACTCCCAAGGGAGAGGAAAAAAAAAAAATAAACCCGCACCTGGAGAACAGGCTGTCCCACACCATGTAAGGACAAAGAACAAACCTGCCTTTTCCCCTGGTTTTGGCCAAGAGTCTTACGATGATGGAGCCAACTTGCTCTGTGCCAGACTAACAGTGTCAGGTCCGCACAGAACATTGGCACTGCTCTCCAGACAGGCACAGGTTTGTACACCTGCACTTCCAAAATGGGAAATAGTTCTCAAAACCAGGAATCCTTTACCCACCCCAGCAGCAGAGCAACTCAGCTGCTTCCTCTCAGGTACTGGGGTTCATCCCTTGGAGGTTACCCTCAGCCTGAGCAAAAGAAGGACACAAAGACCTGAGCCAGGCTCCAAGCCAGGTCCCCCATAGGGCCAGCTGGCCAGGCTGAAGTCCTCACAGCAACGCCAGTTAAATCAGGAGAGCATCAGCTGATCCTGCTTCTCTCCAAGCTCTCAGGCCTCTCCCTTTAGGGCTGCTTTCCCTCCTTCAGTATCTTGGTCCCACTTAACCTTTTATGCCCCTGATGGGTGGGTGCTAAGGGGACCCACCTGGCCAGGCACCTTGGCCATGCCTCTCAGCTGGGCTGCAAGCCATCAGCCATGGCCGCTGGCTCTGCACTGTAGTACATACAGGTAGCGGCAAGGCCACATGCAGCACAAACCTCAGGGCTAATTTGTTCTTTCAGCACGAGTGGGTTTGAGTCTGGGTTTTAGCTGTTTTCCCAACCTCCCTGCAGCCTTGATCGGAGCAGTTTTGGGGAAGCCAAAGCCCTGGGTTGAGTCTCATTGGCTACACTGCATGTAGGTGTCTGCCATGGACATCGTTGCTGGACAATGGAAAGGATAAGAAGCAGATTTAGATGAGGTTTGAGGCATAGTGACTTCTAACCACGCTAGACAGTCACACTCTATGACCTTTTCTCCTTCCCCATCGCGCTGCGACTTGTCTGCAGAGCTGAGGAGCGGGGTCTCCGGGGTTGCACTTAAACACCATTTCCAAATGACTCCCAGTGCTCTTTCTGCTGCCCTGGAGCCAGACAGAGGAAAAAACCCAGGTGGTAACCAGGCAAACTAGATTCGCCTGTGTGTGATCTGGATGTAACGTTCTTTTTAAAACGTAATGTCATAACACATCCTTGCGGCTCTGCTAGTCTGATACCAGGGGTGACTAATGCAGGATAGTCCCTAAGCCTGAGTACATCCAGGGCCTTTTGAAGCGCTGATTACAAAAGAAAGGCAAAATCTTTGAGACAAGGGGATTACCCGAGACACGTCTAATCTGGAGCTCTGTGTCTGTCATGTGGTAACTGGGTATACTGTATCCCCTGGGTATTGCATCTTGCTGGGGATATTACGCATGGCTCATGCGCTGTGTCCCCGTGTGGGTTGGCTGCCTACACCCCTCAACTGCAGGGACCCGTCTGTGGGTGCTCTATGGAGCCCCACGTGCTGTGTTGGGTTACACACTGCCATGACTTGCATTTTCTCTGTTCGCTTTGTAACCTTTGGGGTGTCAGTGGTCCATGCCCTGGCATTTTGGGGGCCCAAAGGGCTTGTCCACGTCTTCCCATCCCTGCTCTGCGCAGAGCACAATGGCCATTGTTTGCCTTCGGGGTGGGTGAACAGCATCTGGCTTGGGAGGAACAAAGCCCGGAGCCAGTTCCTACAAACACAAAACATGCCTTTTTATCACTTCGTGACAAATTGGTTTGTCAGCAGCAGGAAGTGATGTTGCTGCCGTCCTCACCAAGGGGAAACTCCTCGTGGTTTCCATGGGGATGTATGCAACTGTAGAACTACAGGTTTATATAAGCTGAAAGCCCTATGCGCGCCTGCTGCGTGCCAGGTTTCTAGGGGTCTTGGGTCAGATATGAGGGGCAGGGTCTCAGTTGAGCCCCACTAGCACAGGGGGACAGCCAGCTCGTGTGGGAGCCAGGGGAAACGGGAGTTCAAAGCTGTAAGCCAGGGTGAACCATGGGCCTTGATATCCCAAACAAACAAAACAGCAAAGCAGGGAGAATATATGAGGGGCGAGAAGGGAAAATGCCTCCCTAACGCATCCACAGCGGGCAAAGTTCAGCTTGGCTGTGTCATCAAGGCGTCCTCCAGCTCTGCCACGCACGGGCTGTGCCACTACCCATCTCGGCCCCTCTGCCTCCTTGCCCGGCTCATACCTCCTCCTCTGCTTCCCACCATGTCGGCCGACCTGCTCCTTCCCCCCCTGCTCCCAGCGAACCCCCCAGCTGAGCCCATCCGTGTCTGCAAAACTGTGGCACTGAGGTGACGTTTGCAGGTCTCACTGATCTCTCACTTCTCGCTGTTGTTCTTGCCCCCTTATCCTCCCCTTGTTTGGACTGGGAGCAGTTTGGGATCTGGCTGCGATCCTGTCTACAGAGAGTTTGCAGGAGTCTGTGGGCTCTGGGCACTGTGAGACACTGATTATGGTGACAGCAAAAGGATCACAATAAAGACTTGGAAAATTACATCGTATGTCCAGAGCTGGAAGCACGTGTCAGTGCCTCACTGGGACTGAAGCCCCGTTGTCGCTGGCTGGCTTTTCTGCAACAGGCTTTGTGCTGAAGCAGCTCTCTTTTGCACCCCTCTGTCAGGTGCCTGCTTAGGTTATAAAAGCTGATCGGCTGCCAGGTAATGAGTTTTATTGTTCCAAGAAACACATAAACAAGCTCCCCCGTCTGACGGGGAACGGATTTCTGTTTGAATTGCGATTAACAGCCAGGATTTTTTTTTTTTATCAGTTGCATGGCCAGGGCTGCCAAGGTTGTATTTTTCCACTGAACAAGCTCTGCTTTGCTTTGAAGGTGAAAGTTTGTTCCACTGTTTACTGCAGGTGTAAAAAGGCTCACGTATTCAGAAACAGCCTTGCATGCTTTACAGGGAGAGCAACGGTAGGTGCAATCCACGGAGCAGCACAACCTGCCAAGGGACTTTCCATGGAGAAAGGGGTTTTGCAGGATTTGCAGCATGGGACAGACTTTGGGGAAGAATATTCACTTTGAGGTTCATGCACACTTTAGGAAATAAGGGTTTCTAACTTTGTTTCTTAGTGCCCAGGGATCTCTCCTCCTTTTAGCTGCTCCATTTTTTTTTTATCCCTTGGTGTCAGGTTGAAGCTTGGCAATGGCTGATGCGTAGCACTGACGACAGAGCTGCATCAGAGGGGTAGCTCACGTGGAAGAATTTCAGACACAGCAGTGCATCATCCCATCCTTCAAGGGCACCTTCTCCCAGGAGAAGAGTCCTGGATTTTAGCACCATTAATACTCCAGGTAACTCACAGGATTTCAGCAGTGTGCGGTGCTTTGCTTGTCTCTAGTTATATGACGAGCACAGCTGCTTTACGCTTAAAAAACCCCCTCACCTATAAGCTTAGGATTGAATGCCTTGATTTCACACAAAAAGTCATAACCTGCTGTATCTGCCCAAGCAAAACCATTTTTGTCAGGGCAAAAGTAGGATCTGACTCCTTGAATATCAGAGATGCAAGGACTGTTGGCTCCCTTCTGGAGTAGATGTAGGACACACGACATCCTAGTGCTCCCCCAGCATCCATCTCCCTGTTGCCAGTATTACTACCCTGCCTAGGAAAGCAAGCTTCCAGTTGCACCTCTTCTGCACCAGCTGCCCCTGGTAAGGGTATGTCACAGCAACACTGCTCCCCCCATACGCATCCTGCCCCACACACCCCATGGAGATGTGCAGTTCTGTCACACCACACAACATTAACCCTGCATGGTTTGCTGCCCGTCGCCCTCACTCTGCAGCTCCTGCCCGTGAGCTGCCAGGAGTGCTGATCTCTTAGAGCTCCTCTGCCTGGATTTTGATACCCTACATAAAACTCTTTTCATTGCATCAACTGAAATGCCAGCTAAAAGCCACTCTAGCGAGAATCTGCAACAGGAAAGAATTTATTTGGGTCCGGGTAAGAAAGTGACTTGTTGGTTACCTGATCTCTTGTTATGCCCCAATTTGTTTACAGAGATAGCCAAGCAAGGCAAATGCTTCGCTCCAGGCATCAGAGGCAGGCCAAGTTGCAAAAAGGAATCAAGGAGGTGGGACAGAAAAAGAAAACACCTTGGCACAAACTCACAAGCATTGGAGATCTGTTATCAACAGGTTAATTTTTAGACTTAACCTTCGAAGCATTAAAAGTAAACAAGCACGAAGCATAAAAAGTAAACAAGCACTAAGGAAGCTTCTTCCTCCTCCCTAGGAGGACTGTTTTAAATTCACTGTAGCCCTGTGGCCAAGCCTCAGCTGGTTCAAACTGCTACAGCTCTGTGGCCATCACTGCAGCCAAATCCACCTTACAGCTGAGAAGCCAGCCTTGGCTCTCTGTCACTGCATATAATTAATTATATGGGGACAAAGAAAAGCTCAGGTTAAGAAGCAGCAGTAGTTTCTAGTCAATCTGGTTGTTTAAACCCATTTTTCTATCTAGTTCAGCAAAGACCCGAGGTCAGCAGAGCTGAAAATTCAGACTTCTCTTACAGCTCTTCGCCTTGGAGCTTTGACATGAGTTTTGAGACTGTAAAATGCAAGGTTTTAAAGAATGTATCATCCAGCTCAATAGAAATATCATAATTTATTCTGTTTGTATAAAAAAGTTAATCATGTAACAAAACTATGTCCTTCATAAGAAGAAATATATTATCTCACATCATAAATAAATCAGCAAACATACAACCCTTGGCAACTCAAGAAAGCACTCGCCTGGTGCTTTCATGTCAGTGCTTGGGAAACAAGAAGAGCTGACAGATATATACACACAGGATTACAGTACCAAAAAATACTGAGGTATTTTGTTTCTCTAGAAATGAAACTTTAGGTTTGTGAAGGCAAAAACCCAATGCACTAATGTAAAAATAAATAAATAGGACTGTCATATAAAAGGGGACAGCATCAGTGTTGCTCAAAGTGTCCAGGAATGGGAATACTGGTGAGCATGCTACTTAACATGGAGCAGGCTTAGTACAGACAGAAGACAAGGAGGAACAGCTCAGGAAGAGACAGTGTCCTTTGATCTCTGTGTAGACATCCAGATACTGGCTTTAAAAGTCAGTAACACCTAGTTCTCTGGCATCATCTGAGCTCCTCTCCATTTACGACACTGTTCTGGGATGCATGGATGGTTGCCCACAAAACATGAGTGACTGATGACACTGTCCCTGTAGTTATTGCACTTCTGAGACAGTAAGTCTTAGTTCTGACCATATTTTCACCTGCTTTTCAGCAGCTCGGGGAAGTGGTGATGGGGCTCTGAAGATAGCTTAAAGCACTGGACGAGGTGTGAACAGGGATGGAGACTGGAAAGTTGAACACTGTGGTGGTCGATGCTCCTCTGTCCAATACTGACATAGCAGGGCTACCAGCTTCTGCTGAGCAGTTGGGGGCAAGGACCTGCGACTCAAACTGAAGCAGCTGCCCCATGAAGCTGAAGTTTGGGGAGATGATGCTTCTTCTCTGCTTCACAAACTCAAAGGCTTCATCCAGTTTGACTCTGTTGGTCCTCATGAGATAAGCAAGGCAGATGGTTGCTGACCGGGAAATGCCAGCCTGGCAGTGCACAAATACCCTTCCTCCATCATTTTTAACAGAGTCTGAAATAATTGAAATACACAGTTAGCAAACAAGTCCCACTGCTTCCAGAGGTGGGAAAGCACAGGCTACTGTTTTACATTTCTTTCATCCATCCCTTCCTTAGCCTAATAGGTGCACCCAGTGCTTTTGAGACAGAGAGAGGCTTTGTCCCGAGGGAACCAGCAGTCTAGCTATTTTCATTCTGGGCTCCAATTCCAATTATACTAATAGCTCCTCCAGGTCACTTTAGCAGTCTTGCAAGATTACTTTAATACTGATCCGCTTAAATTCACTAGCTCTTTTCTGCAAGACCAATGCCTCTTGATTCAAGATTTCAAACAGCTTTATGGAGCCAAGATTATTCCTCAGAGTAGAGTAAAATTAATGGAAATGTTCCCCAGTTATATCTCCCCGATGGAATGAAATTCCCCAGTCTCAAGTGTAGGTTTTACTGGGGAAAACAATACCCAAGAAGTCACTTCCCGGGGTATGCTACCCCAGAGAAAGAACAGACTGTAAAGAGAGCTCATTTACCTATGAAATCAATCGCCTCGTTAAACCAGGAGCTGATATCTGCCTTGTGGTTGTCCTCCACGGGGATACTTTTATACTGGTAGTGCCCTTCAAAGTGGTTGGGGCAGTTCGCCGAGACATTGATTAACGCCGTGATCCCCAAAGCATCCAGCATGTCTTTCCGGGAGGCATGGTACGCGCTGCCCAAGTAGAGGAACGGCAGGATTTCCACCGGCCCCCCCTAAAACAGAAACGGGCAGACGACCGGTTAACTTGGCTCGGCGGCGCCCAGGCCGCCCCCCCGCCCTGCCCTGCCCTGCCCTCCCGTCCC